TGCCGTACCGGAGCGTCCGGGCCAGCCCAGGTAGACGCGCCTTGCCTGGCGGCGACTGGTAACAAGTTCCTCACGAGTTCCCTGGCTTTACTACAGGCATTTGAAGAAGGCTCAGCAATATGGAACATTACTGTACGCCTTTAATATTTCCTCTTGTTCTTTTTTTATGGCGACGCATTATTCTCATCGTGATGATGATCATCATTATGAGTGCTGTAGTTATTCATAGCGGAATCTACTTCAAAACCCGTTTCTAATTTCCTGAGCCCCTCTATCAGGGGACCCCAATGTTTGCGGTTGAGAGTTTGGGGTTGGGGAGTTCCGGGTGTGGTGCTACAAATATAGATGTAGCAGTCTGAATAATTACGAAGACCATTCACGATTGTGCAACCATGGCAGCCATAGTTTTTTTTGCGAAGTGTGCAAAGACGATTCCTTAGTTGGCTTGCTTCGACTTAGGTACTATTCCACCGGAATACTATACGTTAAAACCCTATCCTGATTGTGAAGGCTCCCACAGTAATCAAGGAAGCTCCTGAAGAACAGCGAAAACGCCACCCTCGGGAGTTTCTTTGGGATCCAAAACCTCAGGGATCTCTGGCACCCGTGTCAACAAGACTTCCGACCCCCCTACAGCTTCCAACCGTGTTGTCTTGACGGGACTTTAATCTTAAGGTTTAGGAAAGTAGGGGTGAGGTCGGAGTTTCGCCAAAGACAACAGTGCGGGTTAGGGTTTGAATTTCGAGTAATATAGGGGCCTTGATAATTGCCTATACTATTGTGTTGGGGTTCCTTATTCTAACTATAGTATCACATACCCCAAAACCCTATTCTAATGATTAAGGCCCCTACATTACTCTTCCTAAGATATTTTCCGCCCTACTGAGGCGGTCCGTTGCATTAACAGCAAGGTCTTGAAGGTACCCGATGTAACCCACTGCGCAGCCCAGTGGATTCAGGCCTCTAGAGTTCCTGAAAAGCTTCGGTAATGGGGGGTTTGCCGGTTGGCCTCATCGTAGCTCTTTTGCATTTATAAAGCGTAATATCAGATAAAAAATGCACCAATCAGCATTTATGTACGTGTACACACATAACTCGAACTCTACTCTAATCATTAAGGCAACGTTTGGGTTTAGGGTTTCGGGGAGATGCTGAGCCCCCATGGGAAGGTCTGAAGACCGGCAGCGTGCAGAACTCGACCAACACGGTGCAAGCGCATGGCCCCCAGACCAAAACCCCCCAAAACCCTGAAACCCTTACGTTCCCTCCTCGCTGTCCTCGGTGGTGGTCCTGCCGGAATCTAACCTCTAAACTCCAAGAAAGGGCCGAACAGCAGAGAGTGTACCCTCAACCCTAAGCCCCAAGCCAAACCCTAGATAAAAAATGCCTACTGTAGGGGCCTAGATCATAAACGGCCCTGGCCTCAAACCCCAAACCTTAGATCATAACAGCCCTGGCAGGTCTGGTGGGGTTCATACCTGACTGTAAGGCTCCAAGCATACAAGTAATACCTGCTCTGGGGTAAGTCTATAAGACGTACCTACCCTGGGGCTGTTTGGGGGCCTCAGCATAAGGCTAGAAGGATGGTAGATTTTCGGGATCCGGAGGATGAGCTTGCTTTTTTTGTGAGTTTAGGTGTTCTAGGGCTTTGGGCTGCCGGGCTCAGAGCTTCAATCTAGTAGGCCTGAATAGTAGTAGCATTCCCTTTATTGCAGAATCAGCATACTTTTTTTGCACCAGCGGCCTCTTCTGACTATTCATAGGCCCCATAGCAGTTCCTTTTGGGGATTACCTACGAGGACCCTAAATATAAGCCACAAAAAGGCACTACTATGGGGCCTATGGGTATGCAAGCCGCCATAGTATAGTACGTTTGCAGGTTTGCCAGGTTTGGAGTGTTTTGTTGGGGCCTTGGTGCTCAGAGCCCAGGCCGCCCGCCGTATTCTAGGGGCCTTAATAAGCAGAATAGGGGTTTGGGGCCCATGATACTATATTCATAATAAGGAGCCCCCAAAATAGTATCAACATGGTATTGGTAATACTTCCCTAAAGCCTAAACTCTAAACCCTATATTGCCCCCTATATTCTGCAATTATAATAAGGAACCCCCAAAATGGTTTTGCAATACTTCCCTAAAGCCTAAACCCTCCATTGCCCCCTATATCAGGCCTTCGTGGTTCCAGGAAGCTCAGGATGAACCTTTCATGAACCCCTGGGTCCTCACAACTTCGGAAGCCGTTCTCTGAGGTGAGTTGAAAGGCTTTTGGGTTGGGGTTCAGTGTTTGAGGGGGTTTAGGGTTTAGGGTGCAGGGCCGGGGTTTGGCGACTTCGGGTTTTCGAGGGTTGTGGGTCCGTTTGGCTACAAGTTCAATCCGCAGCCGGTCGTTGGGTGCAGGGGCAATGCTGAGTTTGGCGGTTTATCGACAGGGTCCAAGTAAAGCCCTTGTTGTTTAACCTAAGTCGGTCAAGCGTGGGGGGTCACTCTCAATTGGGGTTCAAATTGGGGATCCGTTTTCGTTACGATCGGAAAGGCGCCCTACGAGTAAACCTTCATTCGAACGATCGCCTGCAGCTAGGGAAACTCTTTGGGTGAGATCTGCTCAGAAGTTCTTCATCCGATCAAACCTCCACAACGCCACACGCCGTAGAAGCCTCGTGAACTTTGCAAAATTGCAATATTTGTTGATTCTTCAATAATATGTACTACACAGTATGGATGTACAGACTGTGCGGACACTCTATGCCGACCAAACTCCGAACCATCGACGCTTCTCTGTGAGATCTAGAATCTAAAGCACCTGCTCGACAATGTTGTTCCCAAGCCCTATCCATGAGTCCTACTATAGGGACCTTTGGGGAACGGGATATTTTATACGTCTTTGTTTCTGGCTGCAATATATGGGCCTTAGTATTTTAACAAGTTTCGCCGTATACTTCTGCGGGGACAGTCCCTGCTGCATCATGCAAGAACTTTATCTGATTTGATGATTGTAGTTGCTACTGGCTCAGATCTCGATATCACAAACCTGAACCCTGTACCTGAACCTCTAACTCGTAAACGCTATTTTCGGGCCGGCCCCCGGCGTCCGCGCAGCTTCTGATGCCCGGGGTCTACTTCTGACAACTGGGTCTTAGGTAGGCTCACCTTCTATGAAGATGTCACGGCTTTAGGTTGTGGGGCTTTAAGGTACGTAGTACACATGCAGAGGTCTGAGCAAGCAGTACTTGCTAACATCCCCCTGTTATGGAACCTGAGCTTCCTATTTTACATAGGAGCCCCTAGCTGCTTCATCATGTGGAGAAGCTCCCCATCCTGCCTTCTCAGACCTTACCCCGAACCCCAACCAACAGAAGAAGGGTGTTAGGACTATCCCTGAGCACTGAACCTCAAATAAACCCTGAACCCACCCTACACCCTTGACCCAAAGTCTTAGACCGAGACCAAATTTACACCTCCTCGACCCTGGACCCTGTCGTTTACCTCCGAGCCCTTACCCAAAACAGCAAACCCTGAACCCTAAACCGTGAAAGCCTAAAGCCAGTTGAGGCTTCTAAGCCCTACACCCCTACCGGCCCTCCTCCTTCATCTAACCCTAACCCTAGCCCTAGTCCTGCTAGCAATCCGAAGAGAGCACCATGGCTTCGGCACCATCCACGCCTCCCCGGGGGCGGCTGTCCAAAGGAATCGCATCGGGTATCCATGTAGTTGCCCATTACATAGAGAGTTCCTTACTTCTATGTACACGTAGAGGCGAAATTAGTCATGGAATCCTTTTACGGGTCCCTTTGTATCAGGGCTTGCGAGGGTCATCTGGCTTTTCGTAGGGGTTTAGAGAGTTGGGGATGTCATGACTTACCTGGTCAGGGGACGCCAGATTGATCGAGTTTCTTTGTGCCGCCTGCTGTTGGTGATACTTTTCCTTGTCCGCCTTCGTCTACTTATCGCACGCATACCTGCAAAACCTTTTCCTAAATCTTCATGCATTTAGGTGTTTGTCATTGCATATTCCGTGTTACTTGCCCCTAGTTATACACTTGTTCATCCAAAGGAATAGCTTAATGAAAGACGGCACCACAGCGCAGGATCTAGTCAGGGTGTTTGCCTGTTCGAAGGACCTGAGCCTGGTTAGTCCGAGCCTGAAAATATGTTGGGCCCTTGCGGTGCTTTCCCATTACCCATAGGCCCCATAGTAGGTCCCTTTTAGGATTACCTACTAGGATCTACTATGGGGCCTATGAGTAGAAGCTATCAAGTCGGATCATGGAAAAGGGTGCATTATATGGCATTTCTTCCGCTCTTTCAGGCCGGAGGTCGGGGGATACAATAGAAAAAAAACCCACTGTGCCGGAGGTTCGAAGGTTGCACTCCCGTCCGGCAGTTGAGTCTTTCAAAAAGTTCCTGCTGTTGAGGGCTGTGGGTTTGAGATTTTAGGTTTGAGGTGCACCTTGTTGTTGGAGCTTCCGTGGTTTACCCTTATCGCCGTCATGGAGTTCGGAGATCAAAGGCCCAGACACTGAGCGTCTGAGAGCCCAATATGCCTTAACTTGGCAATAGTCCTTCTGTCGCTAAAAACCGGGCCATATATACAGTTCAAGAACTATTCCTTTGATGAAGTGGTATACCTCCGCACGCAAGCCTTAGACCAGAGCCCTCAGAAGCCTGGAGCCCTGAACCCGAGCTCGATCCGGCATTCTCAGTGTAGGTAGCCCCTAGACGCCCTAAGCCCTAACACCAAAAACCCTTAACCTTTACAGCTTCCTTATAGATCTTATAAGATCCGATATAGATGTGACCCAGACGTGCTGAAGTCGCCACGGCTTCCGACTTTCATAGTAGTCCGGGATCACGTAAACGGCTTGAATCTCGATAAGGTGTTTGTACGCATTCCATCGTGATCTATAAGGGTTCCATAAAGTCAGGGTGTAGGAGTTTAGGGGTCGGTGTATAGTGGCTGCCATACAGCGCTTCCCGAATCGCCCGCGCGGGCCATGGCGGGGCAATGGCAGACCTGTCCACAGAGGCGCAAAGACTTTGCAGAAGGATGCCTTAAGCCCTTATAAGCCTCAACAAAGTGGAACACAAGAGATTGGAGAACTCGCTCAGGCGTTTGGGGTGGGTATGATATCTGGGGTTACGGCTTTGGGACATCAGGGTTTGGGTTTGGATGCTTGCTTGGGGGGTTTAGGCTTGAGTAGGAGTTCGAAGTTTAAGCCTTTAAGGTTTAGGGCCTCAGGCTACGGGAATACTGATGACCCCAAACCCCGAACCGGGCTACAGCCCTAGGCTGGGGCCTCCGGCGGTTTACGGACTTGTTCACCCGGGAAATACAGGGGCCTTAATAATTAGAAGCCCCCAAAATCTATATTATCTGTCAAGATAGTTCTGGCGCCTATCGATGGAACGACTCCTAAATCCTAAACAGCTCCACAGGCAGCGACAGCAACGGGCCTAAACATGTCGAAACGCCGACACTCGTATCCCCAAACGTTCAGAGTCTTCGTCACTGGCTAGTTTCTGCAGTATGAGTTACCCCTTTCGCGCCCGCAGCAATGGCAGACTATCTCAAAAAAACCTTTTGGGGCTTCTACTGTAAAGGGATGGTAGCCGTAGCGCCCACTTAGTTAATTGTCAGAAATATCTTACCCTATAACCTCAAAGCTTTACCGCTGAGTTTTCAGATATCATCAAAACTCATTGAACTAACCCTCGGAACTTTAAAGCCGAAACCACAACCCGCTTAAATGGGGGGTTTCCGAAAATAGGGGACCCTCAGTACGGGTTCAAAAAAGGGGACCCTAATATATAGCAGGATCCTTATTATAAGGATCCCCAAAATATAAGGTACCCCTTATTTTGGGAACCGCTCATAAATTTCCAGAGAATTATCACGAGCAGGGCGCGGCCAGCTCGACCAATTTGGCCTACCATCGTCTCAGGAAGCACTTTGGCGCTGAGGGTTTAGGGTCTAGGGTTTAGGGTTAAGGGGCTTTGGGTTTAGGGTTTAGGGGTTTTGGGGTTCAGGGTTTAGGGTTTGGGCGAAGAGTCTCTGATGGGGGTCTCGGGGGGCTTTAATGTAGGTGTCTGCGAGGATGTTTGGACTAATTGGGGACTGTGGGGCTTCGGTGTCTGGTTTTAGCTTGCTTTTGAGAGCTCTACTTCAAGTTCTAGCACAGGATTTTGAGGAGTCGTTGGTGGAATCATGTGGAATCCGGGGCAGAGATTGGCCCTGACGAGTTCCGGATATTTAGGGGTGCAGACATGGGACTAGAATGACTAGAATGTCGCGCTTCGCAGTCCGGGGTTGGATTCAAGCCCCCGGCCTGGTTCTGGTGTTTTGTGATTGTTTTTTCCAAAACCCTAAACCCTAAATCCTAGGCAAAAAAAACGTATTTTTCCAGACATAGTATGATTCCTAAGCAGTGTCTACACGGTGTAGAGACCCTGAGTTCTTCCTTCTTCCGGCTGTGTGATCAATTAAGGCTAGGCCCTGAAATTCAGTTGGCCAGCATAGCTTGTGCTTCTTAGCCAAAAGCATTTCCAGTGGCTAAGGGATTATTGATCTTCGTCAGGAGCTTTATTATTCTTCAAGATGGCAAGCACATGACGAAGACAGCTGCATCAAGAGTCTGAGCAGGCCATATGTTCATACCTGGCCAGTGCCACAGCCGAAGGCTCTGGGATGAACGTCGGGATACAGCCACTTCGCCCCACTTCGCGTGCCTGTGGCTTGCACAGTGGTTTGAAGGGTTTTGAAGGTTCTTGCTCTTGCTATGGTTCTTGACCTTGGTTTCGAATGTTTGGGACGGAAGGAAAAGTGCACCCATAGCCCCGTTGGTACTTCCTTTTAGGAATTACCTACTAGGATCCTAAATATAAGCCACAAAAACTACTATGGGGCCTATGGGTAAAGGCAGATGCCCCAAGCCCACAGCCGCTCAGAGGGCGGCCGGATTCGTGGTTTGGCCTTAGACCCCTGAACCCCCAATCTGACTGAGAGGTACTAGTAGAAGAACCGGTACTTAGCAGCAGAGTAGGCAACCTGTAACATTTTTGGGGTACTATAATCCCTAAACCCTCACTTTTGAACCTACATCATCCCAAAGGTTGACCTTTAAATTTACTTTAGTTCCCCATGATTCGGGACAAAGCCGGGGTATATCAAGGCGTGGCGGTCTCCTTCACGCGCCGTCCGACCAGGAGGACGCAGCCTTCAACTCCCCGGTTCAGGGGTTTACCTTCACCCCAAATCTCCTACCTTTTCAAGGACTTTTATAAAGGAACCCTAACAAAGGTAGGTTCTTTGGGGTTCAGGGTTTAGGGTTTAGGACGCTAAACCCTAGTGTATACTGGACACCAGCAACAACAGCCCCTGTCCGCATAGCGCTTCAGGCTTGGAGGCTTAGGGTGTGGTCTTCAGAGTTGAGGGCGCATGGTGTAGACATTAAGTGTTTCAGCTACCGACGTAGGTCCGGTCGTTTCTCAGTGATCCTTCGTAGGTTGGTAGAATCTTTTGCGGGAATGCGGACAATGAGACAATGGATGGATCTCCCCGGCTTGTCATCTTGCCGGATACCGCCGTGGCTGGCATCGAACACTACATACCAGTATTCTCAAGCCACAGCTGAACCTAAACCCTATATCCCCTAAGAAAACAACTCCAATCGTTTGCGACTAGGAACTCGGAAACCGAGAGTTCTACTTTTACAACATCAGAGTATAGGGTGTTTGGGAAAAGGGCCCCCTTCTGGCACATCAGCGAGGTTCAGCTTCAAAACGGGAATGAGAGGAGACCTGCATGATCCTGCATGCCCCGAGGGTAGAGTTTAGGGTTTAGGGTCCAGGGTACAGTACCCCTGACACTTTGGAGGTTTTCCGCCTTGCACAGGACTTCGAGCAATTCTTTGAGAGGTATCTCGCGTTTCTACGCTCCTCGGCGCTTTCCCGAAAGCCCCGAGACGAATCTAATTTCTGTTCACCCGAAAAAACACGCCCGAAGTGCTGAACCCTACTGGAAAAGCCAGTGGGTCCGAGTCCGCGCAATACATACTCCAAGCGAAATCCCCGACACCACAGTTTAACCGTAGCTGCAGCTATCTTGTGGTTCATTGTGGTTCTTTTTTCTGGTTCCCCCACGTCTGGTCAAGATCCTATGATTTATAAATCAGGCACCGATGGAAAGGAACAGCAGTGGAGGGCTGTTCCCACTGGAGCAGAGATCCATATTTCGGAACTGGCTGCGTTTCAGCGTCCGAAGGCACTAAACCAGCATGTCCTCAACATCTTAAGCGGTCCATAACCATCTAAACCACCCGAATGACTCGAAGTACACATTGCATTCCAACATCCCTAAACACTTCTGGCTCATCAAGAACCCCAGGACCAAACCCCCAAATCATTAAACAAAAACCGGCTCGGAAGCCTGGTACCTCGGAGTCACAACAGGGAGCCTTGAGATATTCAGGGGCCTCAATGGTGGATCCTAAATATACCGATGCCTTGATCGGCACACAGGAGCCCTCTCAATTCAAAAAACCTCATTCAATCCGGCATCCAAAAGATTAGCTGTAAGAAAACCCGATGAGGTCGACAACCTCCCGATTACGGGCTGCCGCCCGCCGCCACCCAGGAACCACCCAAGGTCGACGTGGTGAGGGGGGGGGGGGGTTCTCAACAGCGGGGCGTTTTTTTTCACACGCAGATAAGTCAGAGAGCCCAATACCCCGCCATTAACGTGAAAACAATCATTCAGTCGAAACAGTCAGATCTTCTATTGCTTCAGGAATGAGCTTATTTGAAGCTCATCCTTGCCAACATGGGGTGGTAAATGTTTCAGCATAGTTTCTGCGATGTTCTTCAGCTTGTTTAGCCGCGTTGGCCTCCTCCTTTAGCCTTTATCCTTGAGCCGTCGGCGTCGGGTGTGGAGCTGAGGGCGTTCCGAGACAAATCCGACACCCAAAAAATGCCGTACATCCAAAACGTCCGTAACCCCTGCCCAGAGGGTCCAAGTACCTAATTATCATATTTATACATGCCCACGAGAAGAACTCATCAACATTACTACTATCCTCCAATCAAGCAGTACCATCCCGAAACTACCATCATCTCCTTTGGTGTGAATTTCACATATTCGAAGCCCTAATATGGAATTTAGGAGGACCCTACAACAAGTAGGTTCTGGTAGTTTCAGGAAGCCCAAACAGGGAGAAAAAACAGGTGCCTACTCACAGCCGTAGTGGCGCAGCGCGCCTGGCTGCTTCACTGCCACCAGCGGCTTGGTTTTATTTAGAAGCCGAAACTACCAACGACGATACTATAAGATACCTCAAAACCCCACCGCCGTCCCCCTTGGTTTGGCGTTTAGGACCACGTGGCAAGCCAGTGGCATTTGAGGGCTTAGGGTTTCGGGTCTGTGGCCACCGGATCTAAATTATGGGTTTATAAAGGGTTTGGAGTAGCTTCGAAGATTCGGTGGAAGCTGGAGGCAACCAAGCATCAGGTCCTGAAGCCAATATTCGCACAAGGGAGGCTAGGTTTCTTTGCTCTTGCGCTGCCTATGTCTATGTGCAGGCTCCCCTACGCGTCCTGCCGTTGCTGGGGTGTGCTTCTGCCGTTGCTGGGGTGTACTTTCCAAACCAGCTTGGGGCAGGTCTCAATATGTAAACAAGCTTGTGACTGTTTCAGTTCTGTTTTTGGGACCTCGTCTTTTTCTGGGCACTGTGATGGAGGTTGGTTCGACTTTCTAGTCGATCTTTTCGCTCTGGTCTTCAGCCGGCACCATGCAGAGCTATGCATCCACTCGCTTGTAAAGGGCCGTACACTGTCCCAGACCAGTGCAAGATCTCCCCAAGACCAACCGAAAGCCTAGAGCCGGCGAAAGATGCAGATGTCCGCAGACGCACCATACTTAGGTGAGACGCAACTGTTCGCACAGAGTCTTAAGTAAACACTGAAAAGCCGAGCTAAGCGGAAGGCAGCGGCCAGCCTCGACTTCCAAGCGCAGAAACATCACACCCCAGAAATGCTGCTGGCGCATGCAACATCCATACCCAATGAAGCTTACCATAGGATTTTTAGGGATGTTACAAGTGATATTAATAGGGATTGATATGAAGGAGGTGGTACTACTACAATTATCCGATCTCGAGATTAGCCGAGATTAGCCTCAGGCATTCGACCTCCGCTATCGCCAAAACTTCGTGGTGGAGGCGTCTGGAACCAGGCCGCAATCTGGGGCTTGATCCATGCAAAGTGTTCCTTTATATAATGCATAATGTAGGCCAGGCTCGAGGCAATCTCAACAATTGCCATCCTTGCCACCACGTTTTTGCTTCAACCGACCCTGAGTAGTGCGTTTCTAGTCGTTGTTGTTGGCCTTGTTGTTGTGATGTTGGTCGGTGCTGCTGCTGGTGCTATGCTGGCGATAGCAGAGAGCAGCAGCAGCAGCGGCTGCTGCGTTTGTGGCGGCATTCGCTGTTGTGTTTTGCTTTGCATTGCGGTCGTGGTTCTGCATGGTTAGGCTATTCTCCAAAGTTGCTTCTCGCGCTCAGAGGCGCAGTGTGGATGCCCTCGACGCCTTGCTGTTTGCCAGCGTCGTGCAGCACTATGAGGACTACACTCTCACTCGCCAAGTGAAAGACTCCGCACCAATCGTTAAAATCGTTAGGTTATCCCTCGGCGAAGGACTCACCAATTCAGGTTCGGGTTTCAACCCTTCAGCTCCAATTATCGTGCCGTGAACTGTTGCCATGGACATGGTCACAATCAGCAGCTTGTTCGTATTGCTGGCATTATGGTAGCTTTGCTGTCCTTATCGATGAGACTCGTGTCAGAAGCTCAGGTACTGTATCCTTCAGTTCTAACGAGAGAACCCCAGGATTAGCGTTATGCTCATGCGGCCCTGGAGCTTCATGGGAACATCTGAGAACCCTATAAAGGCCCCTAGACTCCACGGCCAGAAAAGTGCCCGGCAGAACCCTAAACCCTAAAGGCCCTAAAAACCCTAAAGCCTTAAACTCCACCGCCAGACAAGTGCCCGGCAGGACTTTCGCCAGAAGCTGGCCATGTCACGGCTTCGAAAACTTCGCGGAACGGTGCCGGCCTCAAAGCTCGAGCAGACGGCAAAAGGCTTCTTTCTCGTACCGTTGGGTTTAGGGTTGAGGAGGCTAAATCCGGAAGTTTAACCCCGAACCCTAAACCGTTTAAATGCCTCGAGGAAGGAAGTTGGATACCTAACAGAGGAGGTGCTCTTGACACCCCATTGCAGGCTTGCGGTGTTGTTGTGCTACATTGCGGGGTTCATTGGTAATGGAGTGCATCCGAAATCTAAGCCATAGCACGGGCAAAGTAGCACAACCCTGAAAAAGTTATCTGTAGACTTGGAGGTACCAACTCACTTTGGGTTTAGGGTTTAGGGTCTAGGGTTACTGGCAAGAAGATTAGACATGAGAAGAACCCAAGAGCAGCAGAGTGTCTCTAGTCAAGATTGTCGTCAACAGCAGCGGCAATCAGAAGCATCGCAGAGCAAAGGCGGCGACACTGCCGGGAACACCAAAACCGACAGCCGGCATTCAAGCACAAAAGAAAACATGAAACTACCCAGAAGCCCCAGAGTAGTTCCTTCTTGAGGTTACATTGTAGGATTCTAGATATGAACCCCAAAAAGGAACTACTTTAGGGCCTATGGGTAGTTTTTAAACCCGAAACGCTGAACAGCATCAATTTCGTCTTGCGCCTGATGGTCCTCTCCGAGTTTGTCCGATTTGCGAGAGCATAATATAGGGGCCTTAATAATTAGAATAAATTGGTTTGGAACCCCCAAAACCCTATTCTAATTATTAAGGATAGTACAGAGCACCAACATTGGGAGGTCGATTCCCTTCCTGCCGCCGCGATGCGCGAGCGTGTGGTGGACGCAGTCCGCACGCACCAGGTGGGCTTGTTGCTCCATCTTTGGGAGGTTTTAGGGTTTAGGGTTTAGGGTTTCGGGGACAGAATACGGGACCCCAGTTGAAAGTGTAGGTCGGAAGAGGGGACACCAAGATCTGCAATGAAGAGTTGGCCCCCAGCCCTGCAGACCTCGCTGCAACTAGCTAAGACTGCCGCTATGCGAATCCGAACCTCCATGACCCGAGCCACGTGACCCTTGTCCCGGGTCTGTGACCACGCAACGCTACTATGACTTTTGGGTGTCGGAGTCACCCTAAACCACCCAACCCCTAAGAAAAGCCCTTCAGAGCCTGATAATTCCTCAACCCTGAACCCTAAACCTATTGTCCGCCTGAAGTCTAGTTGCTTAGTCTGGTTGGACACAGAGACCTCCTCTGGCGGAGTCCGAGTTCCGAGAGCGTAAGCCCTAAACCTGAACGCTTCAGGTGGTGCTCGTCGCTGGCGACACCGGCTGTGGAAAATCCACGCAGGTGCCGCAATTCCTCCTGGAGGCCGCCGAAAAGGTTTAGGGCTTAGAGTTTAGGGTTTCGGCATATGTATGCATATGGGAGTTTCCGAAATTGCGAGGGATCCTAAAGTTTAGGGGACTCTAGTCGGGTCCTCTATGAGCGGAAACCCCCTATGTATGTGTTTAATTCAGGAAATTGCCATTTCAGTTTGCTTTTTGCTTATCATTATCTTGTTTTATCGGCAGGATCCTGGAAGAGAGGAAATAAGGGATCCCCAGCAACTAGAATGGAGAGTATTCTAGTAAGGCTCTGTGCAGATTCATCGTTTGAGGCTATCGTGTCGCAAGACTAGATGCAAGTTTCTTTGGTGGAGATACATCCTTAGGGTAAGGGCCTGAACAATTACCCATACAATTTTCGGGGTTCCTTATTATACTCATAGTAAAAGATACCCCAAAACCCTATTCGAATTATGCAGGCTTCTACATCAATACAATTAAAAGCATCAAGCCCCTAACCCGTATAAGGCCGTATACACACCGTTAATGACAAAACCGCGGTTATCGATACCGTAATCATAACTCCCAAGTCCTCACTAGCAACCTCCATGAACCCCAAACCCTATACCCTATACTCAGCCCCTGACAACCCTCAAGAAACCCCATTCTAAACCCTAATTAAGCCCTATACTCAGCCCCTGAAAACCCTCAAGAAACCCCATCCTAAACCCTAAACTCCTAAAGCCCTCATTATCTGAGGCTGGCTTCCGCCGGCTCCTCGTCACGCAGCCGCGGCGCCTGGCGGCAGTGGCCCTGGCCCGGCGAGTGGCACAGGAGAGGATGGAGAGGACGGCACGCTGCACCCCGGGCTTTTGAGAGTTCTATGAGGTTTGATACTGTACACTGATATAGTCTAGTACAATATAGTATGGTATTGAAACGCCAGCAAGAATGCAGATAATGAAGGATAATGTATGTATACTTATATTGGAAGGTTTCGAGATGGGTTGTTGTTAATGTTGGGGCTCAGTATTCACGAGAGGCTTCCTGCTCGAAAAGAGTCATGTGGCGGTCAGGGCAGTGACTGACCACATAGATCAAGGGTGAGGGCACAAGATTATGCTTAGGTGTTTTCTGGGGCTTGGGGTCAAGTACTACGTTTGAGCGTTACAGTTGCAGATGTCAACTTCCCCTACGCCCCAAATCTTGGTTGTCATGAAAAAAGCATAGAGACTGGCCGACACAAGGCTCGGCAGCGGAAGGGCAAGCTTGATACCCAGATCCTTGCAAAGGATGCCAAAATAAATGCCGCCAGCGCAGGTGGCCCTATCTTATCCGGTAGGATATACCGATAAACCCTATGGGGTTCTTGCTGGGATCGTCGTAGGAGCTCGTCAGCGGCCGTCGGCCATCAGATCCGTTTCGATTCGAACCTCTCCGAGAAGACTCGAATCCTGCGGCTGGCTTTGAAAGTGAGGAGTTGCCTTTGGGTGTAATATACCCCCGAAACCCTATTCTTATCATGCAGGCCCCTATACGAGCGTGCTTTTGGGGCTTAGGGGTTTGTTCGTGGAGGTTTCAGAGCTACGAGCAGCTGCCCACAGCGCAGCAATTCATTGTTCAGTCATGTGAGCAGATACTGCGCATACTTCATAGTAGTTCAGCCGTGCTTCAGAATCATTGCCTTAGGTCTGAGGCTGGAAGGCCTCCGCCTCACCGTCGCAAAGCCGCGAACGTATTCGATGAAGGAAGCCTGGGCCCTAATATAGGGGCCTTAATAATTAGAATGGGGTTTGGGGATATAGAATAGGGTTTGGGGTGTATATTGTACTAAAAGTATAATACGGACCCCCCCCCCCCCCCAAATAGCATATCAAGGCTCCTATATTACTGCGAAAGCAGCCAAAACCTATGGTCAGATCTTCACAATTCAGGCAAAGTCCACCTCCCGAAAAGCTTCAACTGAACTCTACACCCGGAGAATCCCTGAGCCCCCGCGCTTTCTAAACGTTACAGCCGTTAACTGTGTTTGCCTTGCATGCCTTCAGGTTTGTCACGGAAGGCATCCTGCTTCGGAGGTTAGAGTCTGATCCGGAGGTCTCTGCACCTCGACTGCCACCTAAATTTGGGAACTGGGGGCGGGGAAACATATAGGGGGTTTAGACTGTAAAGGGCGTACTTTGGGTAATGGCATGCCTGGACCCTGAGTTGTAGTTTTTGTTGGATCATCTGTTGTAGGGTGTAAGGTTTTAACTTCACAGGTCCCGAAGTAATAAGATAGGGTCGCGAAAAGAATGGCCCGCATGTCAGCGTCAAGGTACGCCCTGATCCAGCTACGGGATTTGTCGATGCTATAGGCTGTGAAATGCCGATGCAGCAGTTCGCTACCCTGCCGCAGATGTTCCCACACGCTCAGCCCCTTTGCAAAAAAGCAAGGCAGTGGGATCGATTTGCTGGCACCTCAATCTGTTGCTTATGCGTCAGACTTGTTCCACATTTTGCACATACCTTCAACCTTGCTTACAGCCTCGTAGAGGGAGTTAAGGGTTTAGGGAGTTTGTAGTGCCGGTTTTTGGTTTCTGGGATCACTAAACCATAACATGATTTGTGCCAAAAAGGCGCTGCATTGAAAGGTCTAGCTAAATCCTAGATTCGTGGCACCTGCAGGAGTTTGATGTGATCATCGTCGACGAGGCCTTGTGTCAGGGTTTAGGGTTTCGGTTTATAGCTGGGGAGCAAAAAGGACTTCAAAACATTGTTGGGGCTCCGGTCTGAATTTCCATAGAGGGTCGTCGCAATATCGCCGTGTAGCCATTTGTAGTCGTACTGCAATGTCGAAGCTTTGAATTTTTTGGGCCTTGACAAGAAAGGGTCTTGGAATATGGAAGGTCTTCATAAACCAGACTCTCACAGATGGGGTTTTTGCTGTCCAATTAAACTGCAAATACTCCAAGCCTCGGACAATCCCAGGGCAAGCTCTGAACTCTAAGCCCTAAGGCGGGAGCCACTTTGGCAGGTACACGAGCGGCACCTGGTCGTGGACTTTGTGCTGGGCATTCTCAACGAAGTGTTCTGCCCAGAAGTGTTGCAGAAGGTTTTATGAAGTCCCTGAAACATATACGTATTTCCTTCATGGGATGAACTACTAGGTTCTGTAAAACTGAAAGTCCCAGCGGGTTCGGTCTAGGGTTCCAGGGTGTCCAGACCTAAAGCAATGCAGTTTTGATTCTTGTTGCTGCAGTTGATGGAGCCCCTGGCAGTTATGTTGCTAGCCTTCTTCCTTTTGCTTGTACTAGTTGTCACATGCTTTGGGATTCTAATTGTGATAGTGCTCTTATTATGACTTAGAAACGGCATTAAGGAATCTTTTCCTAATTGAGCCTTATAGAGGGCCGATTACTGTTTACGAATATTCCTTATACTCTTGTTATATGGGGTTGCTTATGACGGTGTCTGGGATATGCCTTTATCCCGAAGTCAGACAATCGTAGTTCCTCTTTGGGATTATGACTGCCTAGGATCCTAAATGTAAGCCACAAAAATTAACTACTATGCGGTGTATGGTATGGGTATGGGTATCTTGATGAACACTTTTCGAACAAGCAACAAGAGGTCGCCCGGCACCGCCGGCCGGATTTGAAGCTGGTGCTGATGCCGGGCTCTGAGGATGAAGTTCTAGTGAGCTTTTCTTTCAGATGTTCTGTAAGTTTACAAGGGTTTCGACATTTTCCTCAGGGTGTCATAGGTACTTTGTGAAGAAGTGGGAGTTTTGGCCTAAATTTAGGTGATCAGCTCCGAAATCGCGTGCTGGAATGCTCGGACCGTAACCTGCAGTCCCTCGCAAACAAGGCTTGAAGGGTTCATCCAAGCACTCCGCTATATTAGCATATGCTAGCCCTAAACACTAAAGTTGTGCAAAATCAAATGAAACCTCTACCTGTAGATCCTATGGGCTCTGTGTTGTTTTCAGCTCTACACACCCTCTAGTGTGGGGTATATAGAAGTGAGCCGTTTGTTCTGAGGGGTTTGGGCCTGCGGAGAGCATATGTCATCATTCGCTACTGCAGGTATTCCGGTCATGGTGTCCGGTCATGGTGCTGCAAGTTGTGTCTCTGAAACAAGAACCCACTGGTCTCTGGCAACGGCACTTTCCAGTTGCCAAGGTCTGCGACGCTGCAGAAGGACGACAAACCCAACGGGTCTAAGTACTTATATGGTAGGTACTTTTGGGGCCCAGGATACCTACTATATGGGTACTTAGACCCTTTGACAACGAACCCAAGCCCGCATCCCCGAGGAAGTTTCGAAGTTTTCCAGCGCACGGATCTCGTACAACGGGGGGCCCTATCAACCTTACGAACCTACGTATAGTCTCCATTGTAGTTCCTTTTTGGGGATACCTTATATAATCCTTAATGTATAGTTGGTTAAATTAAACCAAAGAAAGGAACTACAGTGGAGACTATAGGTAGACCCTAAATCCGAAATTCCTAAGCCCATCAATCCCATACTAAACCCCTGAGCCCCCACACCGTCAAATGGCCCCACAAAACGGGCCACATTCCGAAGCTTGACACATTGAAGCCAGCTGTCGACAACTTCTACAGTATATAAGTTGCAGCTATGAGGATGGACGGTGAGAAAGAAGATGTACTCTGCTTACAACCCACACCAGCTATATATCGCGCACTAACGCGAGACGAACGAGCCATCGACAACCTTGCAGGCCGAAGGTTTGGGATTGAACCCCCTTGTGGCATTGGGGTCGGATGCGTCCGATGAGTTTTGGGTGGCTTCGAGGTAGGTTTGGTGTTGGTAGGGTTCCTATGTGGTCACACGTTGAGAACCTGACAAGTTATCTCATGGGTTTCCGGACGCCAGGATGATGTGGAATGGGCCCTGAACACCCGGCTGGCAGCAACAGTCAAGACAGTGCAGATATGCATGTAGCTTAGCCTTGAAGCTTGGGGTGTCGCATGTTTTCACTACATGGCTCCTGCACGTCATTCTCGCTCGCAGGCATATATGCGCAGTCTTGAACTTTGCTGGCATGCAGGGTATTGTTCCTTCCATGTAATCTTGGCTTCCCAAAACCCTTGGCACCGTCTTGACTTTTGCTGGCAGGCGTGGGTTCAGAGCCTTTTTTTCAGACAAGTTGGCGGCACCAGAACGAAATCAGACCTCCCCCCCACCCCTCACCCGCCTTTCTAATGTAGAGTCCATGCGAAAGCCTCCAAACCGGAAAACCTGCAGAAAAGCGCGCGGTAACTCCGCAAGACCTTCTTCTCTCTCTTGCGGCCCCTTGTGCTATTCATTTACTGTTATGATTCCAGGGGATCATGAAAACAAACATCCGCCCGGAAAGCCGTTTCCCAAAGCCCTGTCTAGGAATGAGGGTTGAGGGTTTGGAAGGCTATTCTTCCTAGTCTGGAGGCAAACTCAAGAGCCCTAAACCCAAAACCCGAGATGCTAGAAACCTTAAAGCTCCTAAACCCTAAACCCCCCAACAGGCTTGTCCCAGTTGTGAGTGCTGAAAACCCCCAACAAGGAAGACACCCCAAAAGCCCTCCCAAGAGGACCTGTTTATCCGATATTTCGACCTCCCCCAGGAGGCAGTTGTTGAAATACCAGGCTCCGGGTTCCCTCTCGATCGGTGTTGCCATGTTTTTGGCGTTGCTGTCTTGAGGGCTTGCGGGTTAGGATTTGGGAGTTTGGGCTTTTAGAGGGGTCTAAAGCCTAAACCCTATTTTAGGGTTGCATTGCGGGCTTTGTCCTGGCCAGGTGGGAGGCAAAAAATGTTTAGGGGTGGCTTGGGGTTTTCGGCTGTAGGGAGTTAAGCAAAGCCCGAGGGCCGCGAGGTCCGGTTTGTGGCACAACTGCAAGAACATCACCTTGGTCGTACGGCCTACCCATAGTTGTAGTTCGGTTTTGTGGCTTGTAGTTAGGATCCTAGTAGGTAATCCCACAAAGGAACTACTATGGGGGCCTATGGGTAGGGAGGAGTCTTGGGGTTTTACGGTCTGTAGGTCTAGAAGACAGGGTTTAGAGTCCTAGGGTTTGCGTGCCTAAGTGACGCGTCTAGGGCCTAGGGCTGCACGGCTTAGGGTCAGCAGTCCTTGGTTTACCCATAGGCCCGATAGTAGTTCCTTTTTGGGATTACCTTATAGGGTTATGAACCCCAAAAAGGAACTACTAATTATGGGGCCTATGGGTAGTTAAGTAGATGATCTTGGCTGCGCCAGAGTTCACTGGTCATGTGGATCTTCTCAACAGCCGGTCCCAAGGCCCCCGACTATGACGTTCCCGCACGTTGTCTGTAAGAGTTGGGTCGATATGCTTGCCTTCGCCCCTTCCTGCGAAATCCAAACCTTATCATTTGGGATATTTGGGGCTCTAGCGGGAAGCCCTTCACAATCCCTAATATCGAGCACCTCATGCAAAAAAAAAGGTTTCGGGCTCCTTGTGTACCTCAAAGTCCCTACAACAGAAACATCGCAGCCGTCCAAGACACCCCCCCAACTCTGAAGCCCTACTGTTGATGATGTAAATCCTGCATTACCTCATTAAGGACCCTAAACTTAACCCCAAACCCTAAACCCTCAACGCCTAAACCCTATATTCCTTACTCTGGGTAATGCAGGTTCTATATCATCAACCGTAGTCCTCTGAGCCCCAAGACCACGGGCCCTTGGCTCGCGCCGAAGGCCGCATGTACCGCGTGGAAGTCGAGCATATGCCACAGAAGGACCTATATATATATATATATATATACATATATATAGTGAATCTTGGGGGTTTCAGCGCCTGAGATGTTCTTAACCCAGAGGCCCCGTAGTAGTTCCTTTTTGTGGCTTATAGTTAGGATCCTAGGAGGTAATCCCGCAGCTAAGGCATGCTGGCAGTCATCAAGTCCGGTTTCAAAAGGAGGTAATCCCAAAAAGGAACTACTATGGGGGGGCCTATGGGAAGGCTCAACTTCGGAGCCCGAAACTTTGCTTTTGTTGCTGTGCTCGATACTGGGAGTATGTCATTGACTTTGCGAAGCTCCACCTCTCCAATTTCGACGGGGCTGTAGGCTGCAGA